ATCAAGGAGTTTGTGACTAAGACTAAGCATTACATAAGGGATCTAATATATATGAATTTTACTCACCTGGCAATGTTATAGCATTTTCTCGATTTACGTGGCTTATGTGGAATAGTTTAGATGCATTACGGTAACGGATTGTTTACTAGTAGAATCTATCTAAGAAGGTATAGTTTTTTTAATCAATTGATTTCATATGCATTCATTAATATAATCCATATACTTCTTCATATTTGTCTTTATAACCAGCTAGGGATCAACCACTTAAACGTTTTGCTTAATTGCATGCGTATGTGTCTACCAATAGAAAATATCCTTTTTTATCTACATATTTATCTTTAAGTGTATTATAGTTTTCATGGTTCTTCCTCTTCATGTACTTTGGTCGTTATACTTTGTCGAATTTACTGTTGTACGAGATTAACTTTTTAATTGTACTCTTATTCTGAACATGAATGTTAAGTCTTCGATACCGAATTGTAATCAGGACTCTAAATGCTTAATGATTTACCTATGCCTTTTTTCTAAAATATTTTCATATTATACAGGTATTACTAGTTCTACCTAGCCTGTATCCCACTAGGACACTTACTCGGATTCATATTTAGTCAATAGCCTTCAATAGACTAACAAATGATCTCAGCTCCGCTGTGCCATATAATATAAATAACTTAAAAAACTCAATACTCATTTAATGTGTAGGCTAGCATTTTCATCCAGGATGGATTGTAGTTTCTATTTCGCCTAGGTCTCATTTAAACACCTAATCAGTTTAGTCATTTTGACGGTCATATCTGTTTTGTGACCCTTGTGCCTTTTATGTATGACTGAGTGGTAACCTGTTGTAGTTCAGCACTCACAACTTAGATTGTGATTTTTTAGGGTGATCATTAGACGTAAGCGAGGTTGGAACTTTAATCTTGCCTTCCTGTGTACGCAAACCTTTTGGGATACTAAGATAGGGGAAATTTAATTGAATGCTAAGATATATATATTTATTGTATTTGGGGAAACTGCTATCAATTCTTTCAATCCTATTCTCAATAGCGTTAATCAGATAAGTATTGCTCTAAATATTCTCTAATCAATATATCAGCATAGTGCTCTGCAATACCTTATTAAAATTTTATTTTATTTTCCTTTTAACACTCATTTGTCAACTAAACCGACTAAGCAGAATTCACTAAAATTGGGCCATCTTTCCCAGATAGCATAGATCACAGTGACCAGACACTTACTGCGACAATTACTGGGTTACCCACTATTGGCATCAATGGTTCTCTGCACACGGTATCTTTAGGCAATTCTGAATCGACAAAGTCTTCCGCTTCAGCAATGCTCCCTCTGCCACCACTACCGCCCCCATCCAGCACTAAGCCATTACTACAAAGTCACCAGTTGGTTAGCCAGCGTCGGCTTCCACCAATCGCTACCTTGGCTGCAGAAGTCGTCAGTGATTGCCTTGGTGAGCGTAATCTTCAGCAACCACCTTACCTCGCACAGGCCGCCATGCCCCTAGGTATCTCAGCTCCTGCCTCTGGAACCCTGATAACCACTAGTCCTGTTGCTGCTTCCACCATTGCCAGAGCCCTCGCCACTGGAAAAGCAGAAGAGTTGGCTGAGCCAGCACTTGTTCACGCGTCGTCTCAGCAATCGGCACATCTTGTTTCTAATATTAAGTCAGGTAACGCTTTTATACAGGCTCAAGCTACGTCAATACCTGCTTTAGCGCCGCTACCCGAGATCGTAGGGACCGGCGTCCCTGCCAATGTCATTTCGAATCCTACTGCGGCAGGCGTCGCTATCAGCACCTCTGTAACTTCTTGTCATGGGCCGGCGATGACGCCGCGTCGGCGTACTGGTTCGCACAAGCTGACTGACTCTCAGGTATACGAGCGTCTCAAGCAACTTGTGTCCAAGGGGGACCCGTTCTCAAAATACAAATTAGTGGAGAAAATAGGACAAGGGTCAGTTGCTTTATTTGGGTGTTATAAATAGCTCCTTTCTGTTTATATATACTGCTTTTAATCAGCTGAGAAAGTGTATGGTTTTATTTTTGTAAAATATAGATTTAAGAAATCTTTTGATTTTGCCTTTTTTATAGT